CGCATCACTAAAGAGTTCAGCGTTTATCTCACAAAAGACGGCCGCATTTCGATGGCCGGCGTCACGTCCGGAAACGTCGACTATTTAGCACATGCTATGTATAGCGTCACTAAATAATCATTGAATTAGCAATATTTTAGACTAACTATTAATGAGTTAATAAGTATTTAATGGTTGCAGTAAAGGACCGGTAAGTTAATGAATGCAATAAATTGTATATTTAGTCGAAAATCATGTTTTAAAAATAAATGCTTAAAAATGACAGAATCGTTGAAATTCGAGTTGAAATAAATGTAACAATTTATGAGTTTAACTTAAATTTTAATCGATTGTATGCTTGATATAAGTTTATTTGAAAATATTTACATTTCTTAATTGACTATTGAATTGCCGTAAAAATATTAGAAACTATGTTTCAAAGACTACTATAAAATCAGCGAATTTTAGCGATTTTAGCCTTTTTGGTGGCTTTGGCTGCGGCTAATGCGGCCTTACGTTCGGCTTCTGTCTCCTCGAATATAACCGTCGGCTCATCGAAGGCGTGCAGCTCTTTGTCGTATATGTCTTCGGGAAGCGCTTCCTTGGAGTCCTCCGCATAGTATGTGGGAAATGGCGGCGGATTCTCATCCGAGTGTTTCCTAAATTAGACAATAATTAGAGCAATGAATGAACACTTGAATCCACTTGATTACTTGTCAGGGACATTTGTGTCATAAATGTAAACCCACGAGTGATTAGGACCGGGAACTGCCGGCCCGTTCACCCAAATCACGTTATGCTTGGTATTAATCCTCCAAATCTTGAGCCCTCCCATAGTCCTCCGCTCGGAGCCCATATGTCCGGCCATCGGGTGTCCCTTCCAGGGACCCATCACTTTCCTGCCCCTACCTATAGTACCGGGTCTATTGTGGGCTTTAGTGACGCCACGGTATCTGTCCTGTCCTTTGAAGTTCCATCGCTTGACGACGCCCTGAAAGCCGTGATCAATGGTTTTGCCCCAAACGTCCACATAATCCCCGACCCGGAAGTGTGAGGCCAGGAGTGGTGTTCCGG